TATAAGATCAGCGTTTCGTTTAAATATGATCATGTCGTCGTCACGTGGGCGGCGTTGTGAAAACGTATTCCTAAAATTTGAGTATTATGAATGAAAAACGAAAAGAATTTTATTTTGATCTAAAACTTATATGTACGTTTGTCGAGCATTAATCTTGCTAGAAAAGGGGAAATATTAAAGCTCGACAAACGTACATATAAGTTTTAGATCAAAATAAAATTATTTAATGTCCATCGTCTTTTTCATTAGCCATTAGTCACAACATCAATCTAAATAATGCTATACTTAATAGAGAAAGTAACTTAGACAAGACATTCTTGAGAGTGCTGTTATAGAATCTGGCCAAAATATAAATCTGCACCCCGGATTCTTTTATGCATATTATTACTATAATCTTTATTTTTAATGGATACCAGTTTTTTAAAATTTATTTCTTTAAACAGTTGTTGTAGAGTGGTTTCTCAGTGGAGGCTTGTATTTCACTAAGTCGGCCCTAAAATAGGTTCGACGTACAATATGTTAGGAACTTGACATAATAGGTAATGACGCAGTAATCTAGTTGTGGTGGCTGATACTTTAATATCCGACTAACGGTCGTCCGACATCGACTGAGCCCCTCAGCGACTGCTACTACTCCTAGTTATTATAGGTGGGAGAGTCTATTAACTATAGAATAGGTGTGTTCCACTATAACAACAGTGAAATTAAGAACAGCTGGCCAAGATCTAGAAGTCCTATTAAAATAAGTTCTTCTGCATATGAATCGAAATTGTATCTCTTTTCATAATAAAGGTAACCGCTCTTATATGCAAAACGTGTTACTACTAATTTGGTCATGGGAGACCATCATGATATGTCAAAGTTTAATTTACCAATTTAAGGAACGTAAACCTCTCGTTGGTACTTCTATAAATCTATATCTACTAGCTTCATTTACATACCCGAAACGTAAACATCAGTAATTCTTTTTTTTTTTTTTAATCCGGGATTATTATTACTATGAATGTTATTTTAGTGGGTACATGTGTTTGAGCTGCTATCCCTGTTATTTTTTTTTTTTTTAATTTCTTAAACAGTGTTTCTTACACAATATCAACCGGCCTAGATCGAGAAATCATAATATTTGGTCACAGGAAACCATCTTAATAGAGCAAAGGTTAATATGGTTTTTTAAGTAACGCACGTCTCTTGTTGGATTGTTTAATCCGACATTAATTCTTATTTCGGCTATAGGAGCTTTGTCTCTGATGGAAAAAAGGGATACGGATTCGATTCCTGTCGAGAGATACAATTTTTCTTTCCCTCCATGTTGTGGTGTCCTCCCTCTAAAGAGTCTATGTTAGACTCTTCTGCTTACTATAAGATTCGTAGGACAGAATGCTTCGGGGAATTGTGAATAGATTAAGGTGATGTAAATGGTTAAGTAATAATAAATACCTGGTTTGCAAATATATCGTATATTACACAGTAAGTACACCAGAAGAGTATTACATGGCTAGTGAGAGTGTATCGAATGAACTATCGCTCAATCTATTCACTGTTCCCCGAAGCCTTCTGCCTTACTAATCTTATAGTAGGCGGAAGAGTCTAACATTGACTCTTAAGAGGGAGGACACCACAGCACTCCAAAATCTAGGCCGGTTGTTAATAATTTCATTGTTTCATAAAATAAAACAAAGAGTGATAGCAACCCGGAAAGGTTTACCCACTAAAATAACGCTTATAGTAATAAGAAATAATGTCGGATTAAATAATTCATTTAAAATATATTGATTTTCTAAGCGTACCTTAGAGGGGATACGAGGCCAGAAGTATGGCTCTTAGTGAGGATCGAACTCACTATTCAGCCGTATTATGATCTAGTCAAGTTTCGCGTATTTATTTAAAATATGTATATATAACATGTTACACTAAAAAAAAAAAAATGGTCGAGCATTTTATTTTTGAAGGTTTCTGATAACCAGTCATCAGGACAAAATATTTTTGATTTATATATATGTATATATGGGATGGGAATATACATATGCAGGCTAACAGGAATACGCGTGCACACAGGATAGGAAGATATCTCTCATCAACACATCTATCATCACCAGCTCTCATACCAAACCTAATGGTTTTATTAACACTTAGGCAAAAAGTAACTTTTGCCAAGAGTCAAGAAAGGAATTCAAGGCTCACTAACAAATACAGAAAACGAACAACGAGGCATTAAAAGAACACAAGGAAAATTTATTCCTTTTAAAAATGTATTCCTATTAGTTGCCTGAAGAAGGTCACGAGACCGGAAACACGTGTAGTAGAAATATGAAGAATAAAATGTAATATATATATACATATATATACTAAAACAAATCCACATTGTAAACCAAAAAACATTTGCGGTTTCTCTCCTTTTTAATACATACATACATATACACACACACACACACACACACACACACATATATATATATATATATATATATATATGTATGTGTGTGTGTGTGTGTAAAATCTAGCGATAGAAAGTATGAAACAAAGGTAAATGGCCCAATAAATAAAGTAATATAATTTATAATTATTTTAGTTTCTCGGATCTGAGTGAATATCGTACACTTGACGTTTGCTTACTATTCAAAACACACTTCCCTTGCCATTAAATAAGTGGAGGATTTTTTTACAAGTTTCTAACGACCTCTTGAAAAATGAAACTTTCATCTGGTTTAGATTTTTAACTCAGTTTCTGTTGAAAAGACTCATCCGAAGGTTATAGCCTTCGCCCGCTGCGTCAAAATAAATGAAACATTAAAAACAAATGCTAAACAAAACAAAACAAAATAACTGCCAACAGGTTTTATAATTTCCCTGAGCACTTCTTGCAAGCGGTTTAATGGAATTTAATGAAAGAGAACTTTCAATTTTTATAAATTACCTAGATGCATAGCTACAGTTACGTCGGCTCTATATAGCGTAATAGCTAATAGAAAAGAAATACGTTATAATGTGATTTATTTACTGGTTGTTGCCCTATTTTGTTTTGTGCCAAAAAAAAGTCCAGCTTATTATGTTGCTTCGCTGTGGAGCTATGTTTGAGTCTCGTAGACCATTTCATTTGTCGATCCTTACTAGGTACTTTACTTTTGTCGCAATTTACCTGATTAAGCTAAGATTAGTAAATATTGGTATTTAACTTTGGAATCTTTGCTCTATGTTTTCATGGTAATTGCTCCGATGAGCTGTTTTCGCTGGTTCCCAGACTTCACGAATTCAAACGTCTTACGAGGCTGGCATCCCGCTCTCACCTCTTCACTGTTGAAACTGTTAAATGTAGCCGCCTTTCCTACTCCAATAGCTTCATATCTCGCACCTCTCGCCTGTGGAACTCACTTCTTTATTCCTGTTTCCCTGATAGCTATAATCTCCAACTTTTCCAATGTGATGTGAATCGACATCTCCAGTTGCCTTGATCTATCCCCTATCCTTCTCCCCATCCTTTCCTCTATCATTCCTACCTGCTCGCGCTCCAAATCCTCTATAAGCACTTGCGATTCAAAAGACACAACAACTGTTACTACAGTAATGTGCCTCACCATTATTAGGTCCCACTGGTTTGTGTCTTTAGTCCAGACTAATCTTGTTTAATGATTATCGCAGATACCGTAGTGAGTTTGGTCCTTACTAGTTGAATCGTTATCATGACCTTGTGCCAGAATATATAAGTGGATGAGGGGTAGTTATACAAGGACTATAAACTGAATCTCGCAAATCATTACTATTTTAGTGATTAGCTACTTAAATAATCAAATGTGTAAGGTTTCTTACGGGAACATTTTATAGACATGAAATAATGGTGGCGAAAAAAGCGTACATGCACAAAAGAGCAGACCAATTGATAACATTTATTAAATCAAAATTGACAAATGGAAAGTTTCTTGTTAGACGTAAATTGTACACACAACGAAATGTTTATTAATATGTGATAGTGGGAACATATTTTGTTGGTGTGTTTTATGGGTGAAGTGTTAGCAGCCCTTTTAGCTTCAGCGTGTAAAGTTCTTAACATTAGCTCGAAAGAAAAAAACCCCGGGAAACAGAGTTACTTCAGTGTTCACATGTTTTTATATTAGAGTTCTGCTGCTGATAAGTTTTATTTAGAGCTGCTGCTGCTATTATCTTTACACTATAAAAGGAACTGCGAAGATCATTACAAAGAAATTGATCTCGCAGTTCATAATTTGAAATAAATATTGCAGATCATTACCTTTAAATGAACCTTGGAAAGCATTACAAAGAAAGGAATCTCGCTGAAAATTGCTATGAAATGAAACTCGCAGAGCATTACTTTGAAATGAATCTCGCAGGTGATTACGTTAAAATAATTTTTCGAAGAATGCTACAGAAAACAATAACAACAACAAATTGTAATATTAACTCTGGTAAAAAAATGTTTACTGAGATATTAGTTTTACAAGTCCTAAAGATTAATACACTGATGTCCCCAGAGGATAAAAGCGTTGGATGAAGTAATTCAGTGACCAAAGAGCAGAAGTGAACCCACAGCTTGAAGAGTTGAGTTACTAAAGGGAAATAACTGAAAGTGAGATATCCAGAAAAGGCATAGCACGTGGAACTAGAACAATCTACCACAGTGGGCAAAATAAAGATTTCGGTTCGAAATTCCAAAGTATATCACATGAAGAAGGTTGTCACGTACAACGGTCGAAACTTCGTGAATATAGCAATAAAGATGAGGACAATAGTCCGAACATTGTAAATAGTGATTTTCTAAGCGTAGCTTAGATGTGGCACAAGGCCGAAAGTATGGGACACCCAGTGAGGGTCGAACTCACTACTCAGTCGTAATTGTTCTAGCGAGACAATCTTGCTAACTATTACACCGCCTCGAGGTGACCCGAATACTGTAAATGGTGTAAAGAGTTGAGTTTTGTTTTGACTGACAAGCTACTTTGCCTTTTAATGCATGGTTGATGATTTAATCTTGGAAAACAAAACGAAAGATGATTTACTGTTCATTTCCGGCCTGCGCTACCCTGGTTACTCAATTAATTTATTTCTATCTCCATGCGCTGTTTCCAGCTATACATAACGCGAATTTGTTCACTCCATTTTGGTTCCACCATCACGAGTATTTCAGTTGCCATTGCCTTTCTTTTGCCATGACGAAACGCGAACTGGTTCACGCCACTCTGGCTCCGTCTTCAAAGGTATTTTACTTTCTGAGAATTTTCTTTTGCAACACGTAACGTGAACTGTTCCACTTCGCCTTGTTTCTACCGTTGCAACTATTTCGATTTCGAAGCCCTTCCTTTTGCGATGCGAAACGTGAACTGCTCCACTTCGCCTGGGCTCTGCCGTTGCAACTATTTGGATTTCGAAGCCCTTCCTTTTGCGATGCGAAAACGTGAACCGCTCCACTTCGCCTGGGCTCTGCCGTTGCAACTATTTGGATTTCGAAGCCCTTCCTTTTGCGATGCGAAACGTGAACTGTTCCACTTCGCCTTGGTTCTACCGTTGCAACTATTTCGATTTCGAAGCCCTTCCTTTTGCGATGCGAAAGGCGAAGTGGTCCACTTCGCCTGGGCTGCTGCCGTTGCAACTATTTGGATTTCGAAGCCCTTGCTTTTGCGATGCGAAACGTGAACTGCTCCACTTCGCCTGGGCTCTGCCGTTGCAACTATTTCAATTTCGAAGCCCTTTCTTTTGCGATGCGAAACGTGAACCGCTCCACTTCGCCATGGCTCTGCCGTTGCAACTATTTGGATTTCGAAGCCCTTCCTTTTGCGATGCGAAAGGCGAAGTGGTCCACTTCGCCTGGGATCTGCCGTTGCGACTATTTGGATTTCGAAGCCCTTGCTTTTGCGATGCGAAACGTGAACAGCTCCACTTCGCCTGGGCTCTGCCGTTGCAACTATTTCGATTTCGAAGCCCTTCCTTTTGCGATGCGAAACATGAACTGCTCCACTTTGCCTTGGCTCTGCCGTTGCAACTATTTGGATTTCGAAGCCCTTCCTTTTGCGATGCGAAACGTGAACTGTTCCACTTCGCCTTGGTTCTACCGTTGCAACTATTTCGATTTCGAAGCCCTTCCTTTTGCGATGCGAAAGGCGAAGTGGTCCACTTCACCCTAGTTCTTCTATCACAACTATTTTGATTTCTCAGCCTTTTCATTTGCCATACAAAACGTGAGGTGGTCTACTTCACACTAGCTCCTCCATCACAAGTATGTCGATTTCCAAGCAATTCCTTTTGCCATACGAAACGCGAACTGGTCCACTTCACCCTGGTTCCTCCATCACAAATATTTCGATTTCCAAGCCTTTTCTTTTGGCATAAGAAATGTGAATTGGTCCACGTAACCCTAGTCCCTTCCCCTCTAATATTTCGATTTCCTAGTCTTTTTATTTGCCATACAAAACGCGAGTTGGTCCACTTCAGTTAATCCACCATAAGTATTTCAATTTTCCATCCCTTTCTTTTGCCATGCGAAACGCGAACTGGTCCACCTCGCCATCGCCCCTACATCAGAAGTATTTCGATTTTTGGTCCACTTTGCCTTGACTTCACTTTCGCAATTATTTCGATTTACATGCCCCTTCTCTTGCCATACAAACATAAACTGGTCCATTACTTCCTTGCCCCACCTTCACAAGTATGTCTATTTTTATGTCATGTCTCGTGCCATACAAGACGTTAAGAATATCATTTAAAAAAAGCATTTTTTTCTCTCTAGCCAACATCTGCGGTTTTGCGCAAATATCAATGTTTCCTATTTATTATCCAAGTTGCTAAATACATAGACGAACGATTCTACTTTTCAAATTATACTTCTTGAAATAAAGATTTTTACTTATTTATTTATTTTGGGGTTATCCATATCACCACCTTCTTTTTCGGGAGCCTGTCTTTCCGAGTCGTTCAATCCCAATGGGACTGTCGGCGCGTATAACTCAACTCAAGCTGTCCCCACCGCCTGACCCATTTCGAATTAGTGGCCCGGAGGCAGGGAAACTATTTCTCTTCAACACCCGCGCTATTACGGACACAGCTGCAGTTCATCACCCTCCATCAATATGCCACATATTTCTTTAATATCTTGAAATAGCAATTGACAATTCGTAAAAATGTTTTCCATACTTTTTATCCTTTCGATGCCTCTGAAAAAAAAAAACACAAAAAACAAACAAAAACAAACTTTTCCTTCTGTCTCCATGCAACGCAAACTGCCTGAGTTGGGACCAATCTTCGTACGCTTTGCTTCTCCCTCTTCCCTCCTTTCTTCTCTATCCTTCTCTCCATATCTCTAAAAATCCCTCTCAGAAATTCATTTTGTAACGTCGTTGCACACAAAAATTTTCTTTCATTGTTCAACTCTATATGGCATTAGGAACGTTTACTTAATGCAAAACGATCGTTTTTAATTGTATTATGACAGAAACTTAAAGGAATCATATCAGTGGGTGGTTGAAAAATATTTTTATCAATTGAAACCAGTCATAATTTAATTCTGTTTTTTTTTTTTACAAGGCATTAGGAGTGTTTAGTTCAAACTAATTTTACCAAAGAAAGCTTTTAATTGTGACATCTCCTATACTAGCGTGATTTCTTCTTAAAAAAAATCGCAAAATTGTCATATTATCTGCATTGATTTTAACGACGACAATAAAAGAAAATAAGCAACATTTTCGTCGTATTATGTTTTTTTTTTATCTAAAAATCAATATTCACAACGTTTCGGCCGTTGTACCTCCTGCCTTCTTCAGGTGATTGGGATTTCGAACCGAACCCTTTATTTCGCCCACCGGGGGTGATTGTTCTAGTTCCTAGGGCCATGCCTCTTCCGGATGTCTCTGTTATGTCCCTTTAACTCAACTCTCCAAGTTTTGATTCACCATTGCTGTAGCCTGGTATTGAACTCACAACTCTTTGTCTCTAGTCACTGGATTTAACCAACGCCTTTATCCACTGGGCTATGTGTCCAGCAATACGGCAATGAAGATGAGGATAAGAGTCCGAATAATGTAAATAATATAAGTAATCATGATACCTCATCTCAGACATATAGGCAGATATTAAAAAAACAAACAAAGTAAAAAATGCTATTTATATGCAAAAAAATGGGCGGTTTCAATGCAAAATGGAAAAATAATAAAAATAAAAATAAAATTTGTGCATTTCATGGCTAGGTTACTGTGAATGATCGGACACATCAAAAATGGAGCGATGGCCCGTGATCAAGTTGATCCCTTAAAGTTGATCAAATATTAAATCCGAATTAATCCCAACAACCTCAGAATATAAAAAAATCGTTGAAAGTCATTTGCACCAGCTCCATGGAACCAGCTTTAATGTTAGCTTCCATTGCAAGTTTCTACTTTAACGTAACATAATCTTTGTGTTTCTGAAGCAAATTGTGAAGACCTGGGTCTTTACAAAAGTGGTTCTTAAACTTTTTTCTAGTTGCCCCCCCACGCCTTGGCTCCTATGCAAAATCTCTAGCATCCCCACCGCTTGCACGCATATGAAGACACTTCTTCGTTGGTATTATCTATGCTGTAAATTTAAAACTAACTAATCTGACACTGTAAACAAATGTTTCCCAACGTGGGTGAGAGCGTCCCCGTTTGTGGGTTCTGTTATTGTGTAAGGGGGGGGGCACTGGGATGTTTTATTTCATTGGGGAAGGGGGGCAGTGAACCTAATCTGGAGGGTGGTGGGCATTTATACATTTTTTCAAATTTTCAAAAATTATTCAATATTTGCTACAAAGGAAATTTCTGAAAGTTTATTTAAAGCTGTGAGAAGCTATCAAACTTTTTTTTCATTGCTTTTACAAATTCCTATATGGCTGAATAGGATTTCAAAGCAGTTACACAGCTTCTTACTAAACAAAGAAACCGCCTGCAAATTACAAAATGAGGAGATCTATGATCTCTATCTATAAAAGGCAGAATGTATGTGTGTGTAACGAATGCACGGCCGCAATTTTCGACGGATTTGCACCAAAATTTACATGCACATGCTCCAAGTTAGCGGAAAAGCCAAGGCCGACTTTACATTTCCCAACTCCCATCGATAGTGGAAATAATCGATTTTTTCATGCTTCTACGGCAGTTTTCATGTAGTTTGCGGCCATTTCCTACTGGCCAGAGTGAGTGCTTATAGCTGGCTGCCACGAATAGGCAGGAAGATTCTATTGGCCAGCGTGAGAGCCAACAGCTGACTGACACGAATGTTAACTAGCATGCTAGCATGCAAAAAAAAAAAAATTGATAGCTGCATTCATCACAAGTGGGAAAAATTTAAATCTGCATGGCACTTTACTCCACTTGGCTCATTCGCTTGCTTAAACTCAACGTTGATTCTGATTCCGCAGAAGTGGGTTGGGTGTGAAAAAGTATTTGTTGTCAACATTCTTTTTTCATTTGGTTTTTCCAGTTACGAGTTCTTTTTTAAAGCTGATCGTTTTTTGTTCATTTTGTTTAGTTCTTTTTTCGTAACAGATTTAATGTTTAGTATAGAGCTTAGAAAATATTCGTAGTGTGAGATAGGCAAGAAGTAAGGCATGTAGCAACATCAGCACGGCAAAGGGCACTCCTTTAAAGTCAAGGAAGGGCAAAAATATTTTTAAGTCAAGTGATAGCGATTGCTGTATGAGTCGTACGATTTTTGAATCAAGCACGGGCAACGCCGGGCCATGCTGCTAGTTACTTCTAAGCAGCATGGAACCTACAGCCTTAGCTACTAAGCACCAAAGTCAACCATCGCATTGTGAGATAAGCTATCAAATAAACGTTGTTTTTTAACCTTTTAATCATTGGCATTTATAACAGAAATGAAAACAATATTAAAATTATTTTTACACTATTACCTAAGTGTTATCTTGCCATGAAAGATGAATTCAGTATAATATTTGAGATTTAATTTGATGTGGGGTACGTTGGCAAACAAATTGTGCCTAAAGTGGGCACTGGTTGAAAAAAAGCTGCTGTAAACACATACATTTTGTTGTTTCTTAGATACAGCGAGATAAAATGTCACCAGACAAACATCTGTGGCCATGTTAAAAACCTACAGGATTGGCTTATGCAGACGTCAGTTTTTTGATCTGGTCAGCACGATACAAAGAAACGCTCGGCCTAAAAACTAAATAAAAAAATAAAACCATGTATTCGTATATAACTAGTATGTTAATTTTATTCTGTCTAAAGCATAGGTACGGAAAGTGCGACAGCGATACCCGAAAGCATATTGACAAAGCGAAAAGTGCCTTCCAAAAGCTAAGCAAAATATTAAGAAACATAAAAATATCGTTAGAAAGAAAGAAAAGAGTACTGTTATGTAAACTGTTATGTAATATCAATCCTCCTCTATAGCAGTGAATGCTGGACAATCTCATCACAGATGAAGGAACATGAAGCAATAAAAATGTGGTTCTACAGAAAAATGCTGGGAATACCATGGATACAACATGTAAGCATCGACATATTTCTAGAAACAATGGCAAGAAAAGGGATATATCTACAGATAGAGACAGTTGACATTTCTCTGGCCCTTAATGAGGAAATAAGGCTTGGATAATTTGATACTCACGGGGCAGACTGTAAGGTAAGAGGTCCAGAGGAAAGCAATGCCTAACCTGCCTGGTGAGCTTGACCGAATGGATGGCGGAGTAGGGTTTGGGAGAGATGGCAAAAGACAAAAGTTATTAAGAGCTACAAAGCCCAGGAAATTATGGAGAACCATGATCCCAACGCCCTGAAAGGACACGACACAAAGAAGAAGAAGAAGAAGAAGAAGAAGAAGAAGAAGAAGAAGAAAGTATATGTGTTCTTTAAGTGAAAGTAACTTTTACTTCGTTATATAGATAAAATGAAAAAATATTACTTGGTTCTAAAGCAGCGTCCTGCCATCTTTTTTTTTCAAAACGCCCTCTACTACCCTCTCCCTCCTGGATGTTTCCAACTCTACCAGGGTAATACCCACTTTGGGAATTCCAGCTTTATGATAACAGGAAATCTAGGAAATCGTGTGTCAAATGGTAAGTGAAACCAACCCACCACTAATCACACCAAAGTTAGTTCTTCATCCAAAAAAGATGACGAGATGATGATGATGGGTTTCAAAAGGAGTCCATTACTATGAGTTAATTCCGAAGAAAGGAACGATTGGTGCGAACAAGTACGGCTTCTAGATCAAACGACTGAAAGCAGCAATTAGCAAAAAGCGTTCGGAAATAATTGATAGAAAGGGTGCTATATTTCATTAGAATGAGATTAACACGTATTCTGATTTCTACGAAATTTTCTAATTGGACATTTCAATTTCCTGGAAAAAAATAGGAAAGGTGCTTTGCTTGTTAAATAAAAAAAAAGATGGAAAAATGGAATAACACGGTCCGAAACATTGTAATCAGTAGTAAAACAAATTGTTCTGTAAAATTACTGTTGAAAATAAAATAAAACATATTTCACTATTTACTTTATAAGCTGAACGAATATAATGTGTACAAATAATAATAACACAACAAAAATACTTGCTTTGTGAAACGCATTATGAAGAACGATGAAAAGTGGATATTTTACAACAATGTGGAACGTAAAGATCCTCTTCATTCAATGATAGAGATTCTGTAAATATAGTGGGATTGTCTTGTACTTGAGAAGCAAATAATTGATCTGAACAATTACTCCCCTTCTAAGTCAATGAAGGTAGTAATCGACAAAATGTGTTCGGAATTAGTTAAGAGAGAGGACGTTATGTTCCATCAAGATGACACTAAATCACGTGTTTCTTTGGTGACAAGTCAAAAATGATTACAGTTTTGAAAAAAATGCCACTCATCTGTCTTATCAATAAAATATTCCTGCTTTTAGTGCCCTTTTGTTACGGGCTTTTATTTATTCGGTCGATTTAGCTCGGACATTCACGAGTCTATCACACCAACACTCACTGTCCTGTATCAAGGTCGGAAGGTCATTAGGCTGGCATTCTGTACATAACATAGCTTGTCATTATAGGTGGTTGCTGGGTGACCAACCTGTCTTTCTCCATGGCTAAGTGAACAGAGGAGTAGATTGTTGCAGTTTTTT